TTCACTGACAGTGCTGATGAATTGGAAAGATGTGGCTGGTAGAGAATCAGCCTAAAATAGCCTCTGCTCATTTGTTTTAAACACTGTTTATTTTCCTGGCACATGCACTTTTTGTGCAGACAGACTGGAGTGGATGATGAAATTTGCGTCACACACACCCTTGTGTGAAGCATAATTAGCCTTAAAAGCAAGCAAGTGCAGTGAGCCAGAGACACAGCTTGGGTTATTACTGCAAAACAACACAATCACTCACGCTTTGCTAAACAAATGCTACAAAATGCCTTCCTGCAATAGTTCTTCATGTTGTTTTAGCTGCTTTAATGTTACACACTGATGTGAAGACTTAAAATAGTGAATTCTCTTTAAGCCAACAGCTGAGCAATGATGTTGTTAATGAACATGGTTGAATGGCTCAATGTTCCTAAGTCATAACAAAAACACCTATAAAATACAATATTTGCAGAAGGGTGTTCACAAGAAAAGGAGGCAGGGTGGACACAATTAGCTTAAATAGGTATCTTCTACATAAATATTTAAGACCCTGTAGTCTCAGCCTACCACTGGTGTTCCCCCATTCTCTGTGACTGGTCTGATTTTGCGGCCCGTAGCACAACAGTGAGTTCACCTTCAAGTAGCTTTAAGTGCATTCAAAACAGCCGGGGATATTTAACTGGTATTTAATGAACGATAAAGAACATTAAAGTTATTACTACTTTATCTTTTGCAACTACAGCACAACCCTCAAGGAGAAGCAGGTTCTTCTTTTCTTGTACCAAAAGGAACAAATGACTGAGGATGGATAATCAATGATGATTCAATGTGTGGTTTCTGTTTGTTAGGAGATAAGGTGAGTTTCTATTAGAGCCAGCATCACACTGATCTGGTAACTAAACCCAAAATTAAAATGACCAGTTGTTTTTCATTTAAGAAACACAATTCATCATTCATTCACCAGTAAACAAACTGCCAAAAACTATTCAGCAAGGGATTCTACAAGATGTTTAAAAGCTGTTGAACCCCATCCATAATTTAGCTGCATTACTGAACCTGGTGTTTGTTCTGTACTCACTGGTGAGCGTGCTGAGGATCTGCTCCTGGTTGGGATCCGTCTGCTGCTTCCTCGTCTCCAGAATCTTTTTGACTGAGTCGAGCAGGCCAAAGACTTGGGCGAGGTTACTGAGCACCGCCACCTCTACCAGACAGGAATCTGGGATCAGTGTGGCAATCAATCAAAGGGTCACTTGGTCAGTCAGAAAGGAGGGACAAATTCAGCTGCTGCACACAGTAAATCAGTACGTATTCATCATCATTATTATTATTAAACAAGTCCTTCAAAAAGCCCTCTGATGTTCGATTTTCATCCATCAGCTCCCAACAGCAACTGAATTTGTTCTTTCTTTCTCTTTGCTTCTCATTCATGTGCCTCAGTGTGAGGCCCAAGTCATGCATGCCACTCTGTTTTAAGTAGCAGGACACATTAGCGTAGCTTCATACCTGTGTCCTGTAAGGCAGCCGCCTCCCTGCGCTGTTGCACGCCGTTCAGCAGCTCCAGCAGCTCCGTGTTGATGTTGGTCACAACTTCACCCAGCAAACCCACATCAGCAATCCCCTTCCAGAAGTTCAGCGTATCCTCTGCAGACAAACAGAGGAACGTCAGGCTACAGTCTATCCTGTGGTAAATATTCATGCTCTCCAGCAGGGCCCATGTTTATTGTGAGAGTAATGGTGTGTGTTTGGGTTCTCAGTGACCTGAGATCTCATTAGATCCCTTCTTGTCTGCAGACTCCAGTGAACTTGAGCTCCAGTCCGACTTCCCACTCAAGATCTCGGCTCTGTCCTCACCCACTGTTCCACCATTTCCCAGAACCACCTGAGCTGAAATTTACACATGAGAGCACAACATTATGCTTAGAACATGGGCAGATGAACAAAACCACTGACCCAGACAAACCCTCTCTGCTGGTAGATCTGAAAGCACTCTGCTGTAATTTGAATTTTGTTGTTTGGCACAGGAAAACTTTTGGCCCTGCTGTTTAGGCAGTACAATTTCACAACTGAAAAGATAAAGTGACTGCTTATTAGATCCAGTGTACCCGATGGCTTATTCACACATTTAACACACTGATATGGTGATTTGGCTTTCTGTCATGTAGGACACAAGAAACCAGAAAATACTGAGAGTTTGGAAGCTAAAATCAGAGAATCTAGGCTTTTTTTTCCCTTATAAATTACTCAAACCAATAATAAAAATTATTTAAAAAATTGATAATTACTTAATCTTCTGAACTCTAAACCCTGCCAGTGGGTTTGAAAGACGCGCTATTTTTTAAATTCACCAAATTTTTCGGTGAGTACTTGCATGATGTAGGTGCTGTGGTTTATTTTTAAAATCAAATTATGTCACACGTGTCTACAGCATAGTTGCATTCCTGACAACATAACACTAATACTAATAATACTATTAGTCATCTTGTCCTCTGTCCAAGACACAGGACTGATTGGTCTAAAGACATACAAAGTGTTTTGCCCCTATAGCAGAGTACATCCAGACCATTATGTACGACAGAATGGAAAGCAAAGCAAAGCATGCTTGTTCATAGCAACTCACTACTGAGCTAACAAGTGTGCTGCAAAAGTGTAAAACAGTGGTGGTGGATGGAAAACTGTGGAAAAAGCAGGAACAATTATTTTATATTCATGTTTGTTGAACAAGTCATTTGATAATTTCGTCTGTGAAGGTTTTATTGCCCCTACAGTGACAGTTAGTGCAAATAAAATATTATCTTTCACCTGGTCTCTGCCACTGGCTTAGGCACTGAACCCAAGTCTTACAATGGCAATACAATGACCCACAGCCACTGTTGTTCATAAAATGAAAATATATAAATTGCAAAGCCAGCAGCAGTGGCTGTTGCTAGTCCAAGTGCATCCTCAGTTTTGCCATCATCACAAGATCCTTGCCTGACAGATCACAGTGGCTCCTGGTGAACTCTCCCACACTTATATAGTGCATATAATATGGTGGACCGGGCTTACAAGGGAAGATGAATTTTAGGAAATAGTAGTCCAGGAAGTACTTCTGCAACATTTACAACCCTGCCTTAAGTCCTGTTCTGTAAAGCACCAGTAGCCATGGGTACTAATTTTCTTCACTGTGTTTAAATGATGATGTTTTTCAACTTGAATTTCAGCCAGATCTAGCAAGTAGGCCGGTTGGAGAGCAGTGATAGCGTTGCAGCTGAACAGCGCATTGGAACATGCCATCACACAACAGTGTAGGCCGTTTGCTCCACATATTCTCCCACTGCCTGCTTTCTGGTCCCTGGGTTGTATCCATGGACATCAGTGATGATTCTCTCCATTACGGTTGATCATAAGAGCTGCTGACTGACACTGAATGTTATGTTTGCTCTCTGGTCAGCTTGGAGAGATCGCACATATGCACCACCAGTAATCACAAAAATGCAACACAGGTCATGCCGTTGAAAGCACAACGTCTACCACAATCACAAGTTCCTGGTAGCACATACTGCACGAGCGATGTGCTCAGAGACGTTAACTTTTTTCTATTCTTACAAATATTTTAACCTAAAAGAAGAAAAGAAAAATTATACTAATGGAGCCTAAATGGGCCTAAAAAAATAAATGAGGTTTTGTGAAACACGCTTGTCTTCTTTCTTCTGCTGTATTCTCACCTTGAGAGGATATAGGTGTAGTAAGCCCACTGCCGTCTGGAGGGAAACGCGTGTTGTTGATTAAAAGGTCAAACTTGGTGCTGCGACATGTGTTGGTACACAGTGTGCTGTGCTGGTAGAAGTCTAGCTGACCTGAATCCATCATTTTTCTAGAGAGCAGGGTGAGAAAGGGCATAAAAACAGAGGAATACTGGTTTAGTTTGACTGGCAATACCATCAGTGCTGTGAAAACATTTGCATCCATAATTTTCTGAGCTGCATTTTCTGGTTTGGTAGTGTTGCACCTTTCTGACTCAGTACAATTGTTCTCCTTGTTTGGCAGTAGTAATTATAACTGCATGGAGTGCAGCAACTGATTCATGTGCAGGAGTCGCCCACACAAACAGCCTGGGTAGTAAGAATATTTAGAACAGTTTACAGAAAATGTACAAAGACCACTGACAAGCATCCCACAGTGCAAGCAGCACCATCATGGAAGATTATATTTGTACATTCAATAAATCAGGTTTTGTTGGCTGTTGTTGTTCCTCCTGTTCATGCTGGGTATCACTAGCAAACCTGTGTTCCAAAAGGGCTTCACAAGTTAATATTTGTCAAAGTCAGAACGTTTTTCACTGTGACATTCTCTCTTAGTTTTTCTGAACACAGTCTCTTGTAGTTGAGCTTCCACATAAAGGTTTCACAGGTGTACATTATGAAGTGACCATTGAGTGTATACAGGCTACAGTGGAGTAATTCTATTGTAGAGCCGTATGTTGTTTAAAGTCAGATAAATGCATTAAGATTGATTTTTTCTTGTTTTTGCCATGTGTGGGCCCCAGAACAAGCTGACAAACATGATCTGATGTATAGTGTCATCCCAAACTGTTTTTGGTCACTACCAGTTCATGAGGAAACATCTGGCTCTTTAGCTGCTACATGTCTCATTATACATCATGTGCTGCTGAGCATACAGCTTTAGCTCTAACCTGCTTAATTTGATGTTGCTGGGAACCAGGTTAACAGGCGAGGTGTAGGCCAGAGAACCAAATCGAAAGCTCTTAAGTCCTGAGGGGAACTAGAGAACTACAGTCAGGTTTTTAACTACAAGCAACACCTCAGACATTAAACAGAGCCATTTGACAGATTGGTAATATTGATTAGTGCAGCTTTCAAGTGATGTAGTGAAATCTATTTCCATCAGTCAGGCTTCATAGAAGAGTCAAAGGATGCTATTACAACTCAGAAGTGCAGGAATAAAAGCTAGTCTCCTCATAAAACCAAAATATTCTATCATGTCATAGTCTTGGATGACTTGATTCAGCAGATGCATGAATCACATCCATCCTTGTTATGTCAGCAGCAACACACATGTAAGCACCTGCATGCAGGCTGTGGTAATGGCTCATTAGCATGAGGTGTAGTGCAACCAACCAGCACTCATATCGCTGAATTAATATGGCATTTGTTCACTGCCTCCTGCCCGGCAGAGAGGAGGAGACGCACTGTGATGGAGCAGGACGTGAGGCTGATGTTTGAACTTGTAAATACCAGGAAAGCTGCAGGACTGGACGGTATAACAGACCATGTCCTGAAAGCCTGTGCCAACCAGCTTGCACCGGTGTTCACGGAAATATTCAACCTCTGGCTCTCCCAGTGCATCATCCCCAGGTGCTTTAAGAAGTCTGTCATTGGTCCTGTCCCCAAGAAAGCCACGCCCAGCTGTCTTAATGACTACC